GTCAAAGCTGCAATCTCCCGGCGCCACGCGCATTTACAAGTATGCTTTCTCCAAATGAATCCATTTTGGAAGCAATTTGACTTCTGAAAGTTACCAAACAAATATTGAAACGAACTTGATTGTTTTCTGCCGAAAATGTGAATCCCAAATGTATGTCTCGCAGATTTTCATATTCCGGCTTTCATATCACCACGCTATCTGAATATTGAATTGACTTCCACTGAGAGATTTTCTAGATATTTAATGATTTAATGAGACAGAATTAATAAAACGCCATAGAGCAACGATCGATCAAAATAGGAGGTTTGAAAATTTGCCTTTTGAAAAATACAGTCGAGGACGATTTGAAAGATTTCAAACTGCGATTACCTATACTTCTGACTTTGATAATTTTAAATGGTAGTTTTTCTATAATGTGCCGTTTATTTTTGTTTCGTGTTTTGTGTATTTTTTCAGTTTCGTGCCTCGGCTCAAAAAACAAATAACTTCTACCTTTATAATTTTATCTATGAGCGTGGATGTCAATGAGCTTTATCATGTTGAAAGCTGTCGTACAAAAACATGTCTTTAATGCAAAAAATGGTAAAAACTGTCTCATTACAACCCAAAAAGTTGGCGGAAAATTCTTAAGACTAATCCCTGTCAAGACAAAGTTGATAATTCATCGCCAAGCTCAAACGCACAGAGGACCACGCGAAAAACGAATAACGATGACTAATTTGACAGCAGCACGCCAGAAATCAATACCTCTCCAGAGCAGCTTCCAGCATGTGAATGTAAAAATGATCACTTTTCAGATAAAATAGCAATTGAATCATTCGATTCAGTCATAAAAATACACGAAATATGAATGAAAGTGGAGTTTATACGAGTGAATAAAACGGGTGTTACTTTTTCTGAATTTACGCGTGCGACATGAAATGAAGATGTTGAAGAGCGGCTCACTTTTGCAAAACAAGGTACATTATATGCCGTAAGCGCAAAGAGCTTCAATTGTTCGTACTATTTTATCGTTACGCTTGGAATGAGAAATTCGCGCCTATTAAGGAAAGCAGAACCATCAAACTGAAGCAGAACTGTGACCTGTGTAATACTTACCTACAACAGTTAGTTCGACATACTCAGCTACAGACACACTCTCTTTTCCCGGGTCCAAACTGCAAAAATACCTTCCAGTATCGTTCAGCGTGAGATTTTTAATCTTGAAACTTGCTAGTTCGTCTTTCACTGCGCTCACTCGGCCGATAAATGATGCTGTTACTTCTGGCCGAACCAAGCTGTTGAACTGAACGGTTTTAGCAGTAACATCTTTCACTACAATAGCAACATCGTCTTTGCCGCTTTGAACTCCAAATTTTACATACTTGATCGTCTCCCGGCTGGAATATTCCCATCGAAGAATGGCATCGGTCGCTACGAAGTAGTCTGCGTCCTTGGGTTTTGTGGTAAAGTGTACAACGAATGCACTTGCCACAGAAACTGCGAGGAGGAAAAATACAGTAAACATAATCAGGGTTCAGCCCGCTCGTTAAAAGGAATAAAAACAACACGGTTGGCGACAAGTAAATGCACTTACTCCAGAAAAAAACTGATAGAAATATTAACACATGAGTACAATGTGGGTGGGTCACCCTCATATTTGATTTCTGAAGATAA